AGTTGCTCTGTCAGTACAGCCCATGTGCACAGGGAGGGAACAGTGGCCACCACACAAACTGATCTCGGAGGGTTTTAAGTGATGTTCCAGGTGCTAAATGTTATGTCACTCCTGCGCTCTCTCCTGAGATTTTAATCTTGTAGTTGAAGTTATTTTTATCTTCCCAGCCCTTTGCAACCTAAGCCACAAAGGAAGTGAGGAAAGTGACAGTTAAAGGAAGGGTAAAGACATGGATACAGAGAACAGAGAAAATGTTCTCTCCTTACATGTCAGTAATTTTAGACTTCTCACCCGCCTATGTATAAAGCAAGCCAAAGATACCAATAAGCCCCAGAACACACAACTTCCAAAACTGTTAGTATTGATTGAGATACCCGAAGAAAACCAACATCATTAACATTTTCCTTCGGTAAACTATTCTATGTGGTATATAAGCAGTAATTAAAAAAAAACTAGAAGTTTTTGTTTGTATGGATTTTTTGTTGATTGGATATCAAGACAAACAGAAAACTATGTTTTTGTTTGTATGGATTTTTTGTTGATTGTTTGGGTTTTGTTGTTGTTTGTTTTTTTTAAACACACACACACAAAGTTCTAAGGAGGAACAAAAAACATTGCTAACCTTTTGCTATCAGCCAAAGACTACCTGCAAACTTTTCTGACAAGGCAAAAAGAAGACACCTAAACAAAACACACACACACACAGTTCTAAGGAGGAACAAAAAAAAATTGCTAACCTTTTGCTATCAGCCAAAGATTAACTGCAAACTTTCCTGACAAGGCAAAAAGAAGACACCTAAACAATTTTCTCACAGCCACAGAAAAACCACCAGGCCCTTTCTATGACCAGAAAGAAACAAACAGCTATGAAGTAAATGCTGTGGTGACTGAGATCCTCCCTTCTGCAGAGGCTTGACACTGGAAGAGGAACAATAAATGCTGTCTGAAGAGAAGTGGGAGCAGCCTTCCAGCATGAGACCATCACCTCGAGTTTCCAACGTGACAAGCCAGAGGATGTCTCCCAAAAAGAACCAGCAGAAGCTGGCTCCAAACAGGAGGTTGTCACTACAAATTTGCTTTTCAAACATGCATTGAACCTCCTCAGAGGAATACAGCTATTCTTAAAGGGTGACTAAATGCCCTTTTTTTTCTTTTTTTTTTTTCTTCTTTTTAATCTTCTGTTACTAGTAGGTTGCATATTTTGATTGTCTGATTTACTGCTGACTTTTGAATTTGCATGTACATAATGGCTGCGTGGCACCATAGGATCAAAACACTAAAAGAAAAAGAACACGGTGGAGAAGAACGACAATATGTCACGGGGAAAAACGGAAATAATAAGAAAAAATGGAAGTAGCACATAAGATTTATATTAATTATATTATCATTATATTATTATGACTCACTGTATGAAAAAAAAAAGTAGAGCAGAGAACAGGAACCAAATAGCTAACAAACTGCCGAGAGGAATTTCTACCAGGAAATAAAATAATCAAGCAATAACAGTCATTATTCAGTGCAGTAAAGAAAATTAACGCAGGGTTACATGATTGCCAAGTAACTATTTTAAAACCTAGCCTGACCTCATTAATATGAAATAGATTGAATGTAGCTTGTCCTGTTTAAAGAAGGCCAGCACTAACTCTTTCTTTACTACCTTCAACAACATTTCACATGTGGACCCTCTCTAGCATCCTTCCTTAATATTCAGTGTTTCTCTTCTTCATATTTAAAAATAAATATAAAATTACCTCTTTGAACTATGAAATATGATTCCCTAAGTTAAGGATATGGCATTCAATCTTCTTCAGGCAAAATAATCTGCTATACTCAGCACCTTTTGGTCATCTAATACATTTTTCTCTCTGCTCCCCTTCCCTCATGGGCTGATGCCGCCACAGGACTCTGTCATGCTGCAGCAGTCCTGCTGCTCCTCACCTTTCTGAACATGGGAGCTCAGAGCACTCTTGCAGTGCTGAAGCAATGGGGACCGAGCCAATTTAAATTGCAGTTAAGGACAAAACATTCGGTACGTTGAGGGGGCCTGACCGAAAGCTGAAGGGACTGACAGCCTGCACCACGGAAATGCAATTCATGACATTTGGCTTCCACATTCTTTGGTAACGAAAAGAATCCAACCAGCTGCGCGTAGGAAGACAACAAGCACGGCTCATTCTTCAGCAATTTATGCATCAAAAGATCTGAACCAAAAAACTTCACCAAAAATCGAATTGCCAAGCCTGATACCTGGCTGGCAGAGCAGCACAACCTGCAGCCTGGCCACCCAGTGGATATTGTGCAAGCACGAAGATGTACCAAGTGCAATTAAATGCAAAATCACGCTCTAATGATAGACTCGGCAGATAGCTGCCACTTTCACTCCCACTTCACAGCCCAGAAAGCTTTTGGATAAAATTCTGAAGGTGTTTTAAGCTGGAGCTGGTTTATAGTATTGGGAAGGTGCTCCTGGGGGTAGGATGGGATTGGGTGCACAGATTAGGAGGGGGCCTAATTGTGACACTAAGGGAATGCGGGTCATCCACATATCCAGATGTCCCCAGTCCTCCACAGCCCTTCCTGCACTTCCCCCCTCTCCCCAAACCCCACACTTATTCTCTTGAAATCAACATAGTTTGCTAGAACAAGTCTTAGAGCAAGCACGAAAGAATACGCTAAATACCGCACTCCTAAAATATTTAAGGATATATTGCAAAAGAATATTTTGAAATCCAGGGATGCTTAAAAGCCTGTCCTTGTCACAGAGGACGAGGAGATTGAGAAGCTGGGGAGATGGAAGAACAAACACATCAGGGCACAGGAACAGCTGTTGGTGTGCCCAGGATCTGGAAGCCAGCCTCTTCCAAATAATTAATTAACTAACAAACACACACACACCGACCCCTCGACTTCATAAATCCACCAAAAATTAAATACTTCACTTAACTACGTTCAAAAATTAGAAAAAAACCACCCAAACAAAACCGAGCCCCAAGTCCACCTGCTCTAATCCCCTCCCCTTTGCTGCAGCAAACACAGCAAGGTTCAAAAGCACCTTCAGCAAGCCCTTCTTAACTTTCCCTCTGAAAAGCACTGCTTTGCTGTAACGTTACAATACGTACCTTCTAGATGTGCATGAAACTGAAGGCAAGGGACGAGCAAGGGCTTGTGAAACACACCCCATAAACTCCTTCACCGCGGCCGCCCCGCTTGCCAGAGGAGACATTTCAAAGTCACCAACTCGGTGAAGGCGGCGAGACCTTGCCTTAAAATCCACATTTCCCTTCCTGGGGAAGGCCATTTTCCCTCAAAACCACCCGGCCGGAGCCCCTCGGCTTCCCCCCGGGGGGCTAATCCCCCCTTCGCCGCCCCGTCCCCTCACACCCTCCCCTTCCCCTCAGGCCGCCATGTTTTACCGGGTCCGGCGCCCAGACGAGCTGCGCCACGATCAAAAGGGCTACGGGCCCCAACAGCGCCCGGCCCCGGCCCTACCGCCGCCGCCTCAGGCGCTATGAGGTCTCCCCCGGAGCCTTTTCTTCGTGGTCGTGGGTTGGAGAGGTGTGGGGCACTGCAGCAACGAAGCAGCAGAACTCATCAGGGGATTTGGGAAATGAGGAAAATGACAGCGTAACGGGGGGAAACCTCGAGATTTTCATGGGAGTGTCCTTCACAAATAGGAAGCGGTGGTAGATGCCCCATCCCTGGAAACATTCAAGGCCAGGTTGGATGGGACTAAGCACCATGGTTTAGTTGAAGATGTCCCTGCTCATTGCACAGGATTGAACTAGATGACCTTTAAAGGTCCCTTCCAACCCAAACTATTCTGTAATTCTGTGAAATCAGGCAGTTTCTCTAGGTCCTAAAGCACCATGGTTTAGTTGAAGATGTCCCTGCTCATTGCACAGGATTGAACTAGATGACCTTTAAAGGTCCCTTCCAACCCAAACTATTCTGTAATTCTGTGAAATCAGGCAGTTTCTCTAGGTCCTAAGTGCCAAATTATTTTTTTGGTTGAAAATGAATACCTGTAGGGCAATAATTCTGTCTTTACTTGCAGGTATCTGTATATAACATTATGGTCTACAGTAAAAAAGTCAGATGAACTTGGTCCTGTTGCTATCTAAACATCCACAGCCTCTTTTGCTCCACTTTTATTTCTAGAGCAGACAGGTTTTAGGTGCTTTGCCATCTTTATCTAGATGCTTTACTATCTTTAGGATGTTTTTAACAGTAGAAAATAAATGACGACTTTGGAAAATGAGAAACTTTCTGAATGTTCTGAAGACAAAATTATGCCATTGTCACATTATACATTGACAACTTACTTTTTTGAAGCCTCTTTGGTGCTTTAGTTCTCAGTGTGAGGAATAGCTGGCATCCTCCAGTACCTGTGTCTCTCTGACTATGGCCATTCTGCTGGATTCCTATCAGGACGCCTTGTCTCCAGGGTCTACACCACCACTTTAGGTCCTTTGTTTTGTTATCTGGATTTCTTCTGTCAGTTTTCAAAAATCTTTCAAAGATGTTGAGTCAAAATTAAAAAAACTTAATTCACTCAATTAACTGTCCCACCTGACAGCTGGTGTCACTTAGTACTTCATGTCCACTCTCCTGCTTTCTCATACCCATCTATCACCACTCCCCAGATCTGTTCTTTCCTCCAGAAGTAGAAGCTGCACAAATTATTTCCCCTTTTCTCCCCATTTCAGTTAAATGAAAGCTTGTTGTGCTAACGCTACTGCCAGGACACAGTATCACCAAGAAGACGACTCCATGAACAATTCCAGTAGGAAAACTACTCCCTCCCAGAGCCTGCTCCTCGTGGTGCCACCTCTTTCCCAGTGGTTCTGGGAGTAGTTTTGGCAGGAGGCCACTTCCAGATCCATGCTGTCCCAACGGCTGTAGGTCAAGTTACTTATATTTCTGAGGAGAACTACTTAGTGAGCCCAAGATGAAAGTAAGGAGCTCTGGAGAAAAAAAATCAATTACGGTTTTAGAGTTTCATTTTGCAAATATTTTAATGCATAGTCTCACTGGAAACACGTTCATATCCCCAGCAATCACTTGCATTGAAAGAATGGGTAATTAACCGAAACTGTTAGAAAATAAAGGTAACTTTCAGTCATTGCTGCTATGTGGTAAGCTCCAAGAGTAAACTCAAAAGTTTTGTGCTACAGCTAGACATAAAATCTGTGTGAACTTAAAAATGAAGCTATTGAACTTGATACTGGTCAAAAGGTCACACATTTGATCAGTTTACGTGACCATCTGATACCATTACATTTTAGTTAACAGTATTTCCTGAAATACAATAATCAGGTAAGTGATAGGTACAGGGGAAAAGACAATTCATTACAAAATCATCTAAGTTCAAAAAAACCCCAAACAACCCAGCTATGGAGGGGTGTTTTGTACCTCTGAAAACTGAGGGGCAAATTCTCATGTAATAATTTCATTTTGCTAATTTTTTTTTCACTCAGCGTAGACCTTGCTTTTATTTAATTTCTCAGCATTCTGTTAGAACTTGAAATACAAAATCCTACGGAGCAGCTGCAATGGCAGGAAGATCTCCAAGGATTTGTCCATATAAGAAAGTTACAAGCACAACTGTCCCAAAATAGTTGCACAAACCAGCTCCCTGGGGGGTCTTACTGAGTTCTCATTTAGTATGTCAACAGAAAGAGCTAAAAGCCAGCCTTCCCAAACCAGCTATAATTTGTTTTCATGCTGAAAAGTCAATAGAGGGTTTCAACAATTATGATGTACTTAAAAGTCTTCATGCTTCTTCCTTGAGACCAACTGCCTATGAAATTAGACCAATATAAATTGCTGCTACTGATTAGACTTGATTGGTCTGTTCCTGTGCCCTTTTTAGACACACCATGATCTTGCAGGAGCTTATGGTTTTGTACTACGTGTGCAGTTCAAACAGAGAAGCTCCGTAGAGAGAATTCCAATTATTTCCAGAAAAATCCCCAACGTTCTTACCAAGTAATCCCTACGACGCAGATGACAGAAGCTGGGAAGAAAGTAAGCCATTGTCCCAACTGAGGTAGTTCCTGTGGAGATGCCATTACCAAAAAGCTTCTTGGTAATCACAGCAGACAGGGGTAATCATGTATTTTCTATGAGATACTAGGAATGTATATTTTACTATGACCTTAAAAAAAGTCCCTGCTGTTTTATTAAACAAATTAAAGTCCGTGCTGCAGAGAAACCAGCAAGTTTGCAAAATCAATTTTTCCCTCTTGTAAAATAGGCAGCCTGTTAACACAAAACAACCATCCCCTTTTCTTACCAAGCATTTTTATTTGTAAGAGGGTTCTTGAGACTTGTCAACACCTTTTTTCCAGCGTATGGAGTATGCCACTGATCACCTTGAACAGTGGGGCTGTTATGAACATTGTTTTATGGAACCCGAATACTCTGGCCCGGTCCTCACCTGATGCAGCGTGGAAAGGCTCCACAGATGTCCTACTCAGGATGTGGTGGGATGTGTTCCAAGACATGTATTTTCAATTATTTCTTCTTGCTCAATAGTTTTATATATTTCTTAATGGTTCAACGTGCCAACCATATTTTACTTTCGAATTTCGTAGTTGTTCTCTTCCGCCCTTACTGTCTTCTGCCTTGTCTCTAAATTCAGGTTCCTTTCATCAGCCTTGGAGGATTCAGTGGGTCTAGGTCTTTTCCATTAAATAATTATCTCACTATTTCAATGGCATATAGTTTTAGAGTAAACTTAATAGTATTCATGACTGAAAGGTGACATAATTTTGATGCTTAATTATAGCTCTCAGGCCATCCTTTAAAAATAACATAATAAAAAACATCAGCAAAACACCTTCAATAAAAAATAATTATAAAACATTTTACTCTTATTTTCAACGTGACCCTATCATCAAAGCTGCAGGAGGAAGTGGACCAGCTGGTTGTCACTTGCAGTATCTGTCCGCTTTCACTTTTGCTCTCCTATGTGGAAGAGTAACAAAACAAGATTTAGATTAAGACCAAATATGATTACACCTGGGGGTTTTATCTGCCTCAAAGCATTAAGGAAGCATTGGAAGCATTTCTTCTTAAACTTCACAGCACATATAAAAGCCTAATACCACTTCTGATTTGTTCATTAATTTCGTTTTCTTAGGGAGCTAGAACTGCACTGTCTAAAGTTAAACTTGTCCTTCCCTTCAAATCGTCATAAATTGTGTTTTGCCCACTCTGAGGAACAGAATTTGGATTCAGTGTGGTTTGAAGCTGACACTCAACCTGTGATGGGCCAGGAGTGTTCTCACATCCCTTGCGTTTATCAGGAATAGTCTCCTGCATTCCACACAAATATTTATACTGTACACCTATACAAAGTGTTTGAAAAACTTGAGTCAATTTCCTTAGTCTCAGACGAGGTGAAAAAAAATAGTTTATTCTTACTAGATACCACAAAGAGTGTTCTTAATAAATGCTCTTTAAAATGCAGCTTTCCCCCTCTCCAAAATGTTCTGGTTCCGTAGGTATAGAAAGTTAAAAATTAGCTTAATTTTTTGCGATTAAAAAGATTCATCCCTCAAACTCCTCTGTACTAAACACATGGAAAAACCTAGATAAAGATTTCCAAAAGAATTCGTTTCTGGGTAAATCCAAACCTGCAAACTTCAGCTACAGAACTGAAAATTAAGAACAAACAGAAAAAAGCCAATCCCAGAACTCGGGCAGAGAGGAAATCTTCAACTTCCCACCCCCCCTGAAATCTGGCTTTCTTTTGTACCCCAGGTTCACTGTAATCCCATCTCCCAGTAGCTTTTATATATAGTTTTATTATTTCTTGTATTTTGAAGTACCTGTCGAGTAGCATTTCATGAAAAGTGCCTTCCTTCCTGGCTTTTCTGAGGGCTTTTGTGTCTTCTTTGCTTATTTTAAGCTTTTTGTCTTGAAAACTTTGGAATTTCTTTCTGTAAGGGGAGAAAAATAATGTTACAAAGTGGAACTTCTTTCAGACTTCGTGTTTCAGTAAAACAGCAGCTGTGATAGAAATCTGAACTTCTACCATGCAGTGTACAACTGGCCTAATAAAATCCAGCAAACTATCACAGTATCCATTACTGTGCTAAAACTTCTGTAGGTGAAAGCGATTCAGGGTGCCAGAGCTGGGGAAAAGTGGGAGAAGAAAAGGGGGGCACAGGGAGAAATCACTGTATATTGATTGACCCATAACCCCCTCCTGCTTGTGGCAACAGGAGTCTGGAGTGAAGCCGAGTTTGAGAGATGGAGGAAGGAAAGGTGGAGGTTATAATTTTTGTCTTTGTTTCTCACTAACCAAATTACCAGGCAATAAACTTAATTAGGTTTTGACACATTGAGTCTGTTTTGCCTGTGACAGTTACTGGTACACCATCTCCCTGTCTTTGTCTCCACCAGTAAGCTTTCTCATTCTGTTTTCTCCCCTTGTCCTGCTGAGGGGAAAGGGAGTGAAAAGCTGGGTGGGAGTTTGGCCCTTCCACCAAAGGTGGGCCCCAAAGAGAAGCAAAAAAAGATACGTGAGCCTGTTAACAGCTCTAAACTACGTACACATAATTGATTTCACACTGTTTAACGTTTCCTTTGTCTTCTTGTGGAACATCATCTTTCTTCTTAGGTTCTCTTTCAGCACAAGTACGTATCTAGTCATTGAGAGGCAAAAAACAAAACAAAACAGAAAAAACCTATTTTTTTTTAAACCGGAACTTACAGGTTAAAGATGACAATATATCCTTCATAACAAAATGAGAGTCACAGTGACTCTTTAAATTCTTGAGTTTTCAAATTGGTTAATTCACATATGGAGGCAACTGCAATAAAAGCAAAGGCTGTCTGAAATACAGGAAATACTAAGTGTAATCCTTGATACTACTGCATATATCTACGTAATTTATTGTATCTACATAATGACCTTCATCTCAAAGAAGCACCATTTCAGTTCTCAGTTTTAGCAGGGGTAAAATGCCTTTTTTAGAGACTGACTTAAAAAATAATATTGCTCTGACTAGTAGACATCTGTCTCTCTTTGGAAGCACTCGTGTAATTTCCACATCCAGATGAAGTCAAGAGAGTCTTTTTACATTCTCTTGCTTAAAATATCTCCTGTTGTGCATCATTCTGGCAAACCCTTCTCTGTCCCTGCTTCAGTCATAATTCATCTCTCTCATACCAAGCTGTTCAGAACTGTCTGGAACATCACATAGACTGTCTTGCCCCCTGTAGTGATAAAATATCTTCCTATCTCTACTGGAAGCATCTCAGTTTATGCAGGCCTGGAGCTCACAGAATGGTTTGCGCTTGAAGACCATCCAGTTCCAACCCTCCTGCCATGGGCAGGGACACCTCCCACCAGAGCAGGTTGCTCAAAGCCCCATCCAGCCTGGCCTTGAGCCCCTCCAGGGATGGGGCAGCCACAGCTGCTCTGGGCAACCTGGTCCAGTGTCTCACCACCCTCATAGTAAAGAATTTCTTCCTTATATCTAATCTAAATCTTGCCTCTTTCAGTTTAAAACCATTACCCCTTGTCCTATCACTCCACCCCCTGATAAAGAGTCCCTCCCCATCTCTCCTGTATCCCCTTCAGGTACTGGAAGGGGCTATAAGGCCTCCCTGGAGCCTTCTCTTCTCCAGGCTGAGCAGCACCAACTCTCTCTTTTGCCTTTCTTGAGGCCAAATCACTTGACAGCTTATAGAAAACTATTATAACTGTAATAAGAATAAGCTGTAGCACAAACAGACCTGGTTGTTAGAATATCCATGCCAATCCTGTACAAAATGTAGAAGTTAAAGATTACCTTTATCATTTCTTCTTCCCCTGCAGTTTTGCTTTTGGCTTCTATATCTCCTTCTTCATTACATCTAATGAAACGGCTGTTTGCTGCCAGTAATGCCATTTTCTTCTGCAGAAATTATATCACATATTGTTAGTATAAAGGTTTTGTATATAATCCTCAATGCATAACATTCTATCCTCTACAATACACTAAAATTATCTGGTTTATTTTTTTATATATAGACACTGCTGGCCAGCAGACTTGATGGCTCCTTCACTCTTAAGATGCTTATAGCTGCCAAAATGCAGTAACTTGGAAGTATTTTAAGAACTTCCAATTACAGTAAATGCAGTTGAGAAAACAGGAGATTAAAAGTTACAATATGGAAGAGAATGCAAAAGGCTTTTACTCAACAGAGAAAACCCATCAGTAGAGATTAACTCAAAATGCAGTTAAATGCGAGGAACATCAAGTGATGTTCCAAACAGCTTACATCCTGGAAGACAGGTTCCCATTGCTCTCTTGATCCTATTGCATCCGAACGTCCAATAACAAGTCCATCCGAATTTATACCAAGGTATTTGCCATAACCAGACTTCAGAGCGATCCTCAAAGGAAAAGCAGGAAAACAGTACAGAATGTTTTTAATTCAAGCAATTCACAATATCCCATACATCACAAACACGTTATTAGTAGACAATGTATTTCAAGAGAATATTAAAACCATGTATTCACACCAGAAACAAAGATAACAAGTATCAAAACTTGTAACCTTGTTAAAGTGATTACCTTGTATCAGACAACTTCACTGCTGTAAACTGTTCAGGAGGACTTGGGCCTTCATCATCTGAGGAATGAATTACCCACTAGTTAGGTATGAAGTATGAAACATACAATATTTTAGCCTGCTCATACTGCAGGTTCAAAATGAACTGAACACCGGGCATCGCCAAATACTATGGAAATCTGCAATACTTTTTCTTTAAAATCCCCTTTTTTAAATATGGACTTTTAAAAAAGCAACGCAGGTGCTTATTTATGTTCATATGTTTAGACTGCTTAAAAGCAGACACAAAATAAAAACAATCCTTGTGTAAAGAAATTTACAGCTGAGAACGTTTTGTAATTCTCCAGGTGGCTTGAAAAACCTTAATCTCCTTGTAATGTTATTTTTTCCATAAGAAAATGTATTACTGTTCAGCTAGGGTAACACAACTCAGTATCCTGAAAGCTACCAGCTCCTCCATCCCTGGAACCCAAAATGAGATAGTATTGCATAATATTGCTAATTTTGCCACCACATTAGTAGCTCGCTTGTGCAGCGACAACACATGTGTATTAAGATGAGGATGCAGCAATAACCCTTGAAACTGCCTTCAGTTTCACTCTTCCACTGACACCATAAAGGTTTTATAGGATTTAATAAAAGTTATACTGCTTTTTTATCCAGTAAGTGGTACAGCCTTTAACAGGTGATCATCTCCAATGCAGTTCAATTTATTGTATGCATAAAACAGCGAGAAACTAGATAAGTGAAACTGATTGGTAGTCATTAGGTGTAAGTCATCTGCACGCTACGGCTGGGATTATTGCATTATTTGTAATAAACTCCTGTTAGATGGAAAATTGCTCGCCTTTAAGTGATGCCACTTTTATGCCTTTCATTACTGAAACTGCTTATTTCCAAATTTCCTGAAACATACCTTTATGCGGTGCTCCAAGAGTAAACAAGCCATTGTCGAGGGCATGGATGTAAGCCCCTTTATCCATTTCTATAGCGATAGTTCCTGTGATTTCACCGAAATTACTGACAGCCCACCAGTTTCCTAAAATGCAAACCCGTGACAGTTAATAGAGCAATTACAACTTCTGATTACAGCAGTTCAAGAGATGATGTTTCTGTGTCTTCTCTTGAGATCTGAAATTCTAAAGATAACACTGGCTATCTCAAGATCTTTGTGCGTTATTTTATTAGTTCAAGAGATGATGTTTCTGTGTCTCCTCTTGAGATCTGAAATTCTAAAGATATGCTTGCTATCTCAAGATCTTTGTGCGTTATTTTATAGTGCAAAAACCAAATTAAAGGTGTCGCTGCGGAATCGGAAAGTCTTGCTGTTCTACCCACCCTGTCACCTCTAGTCACAGCCTCCTGCCCTTCATCCCTGCTTTGCGTTGATCCATAGAGCAAGTTGATGCATTCAGCTGATCTAGCAAAGATAACACCTTGCAAGGAAGGTGGTTTGTTTTGTTTGTTTGTTTGGTTTTTTCCCCCCCTAGACCAGCCTCCTGCAGTTTTGGGGTCATACCCAATTATTAGACTCTCCAGCACAACAGAAACAAATAAACTATCTCACCTTGCTGTTAAATTGCTTCACGTGAGCTGTAATTCTTAGGCTTCAGCTGCTTGAGCCAATCTGTGTTTGAATGTTTGAGCCCCACAGAATTCAACCAAAGTTAAAGGTAGCCCTACGCACATCCATGAATTAGAATTATGATGTTTATATTTTTTAAACAGTAAAATTTTCACCTGTCACGTTGCCTTACAAATATTGTCCACCTAAGATAATAACTATTTTTAATTAATCTGAATATGATGGATTATTTTTTTTTTCACATGGTAAATTTGGCAAGTCAATCTGCCTTGAGCAGAAATAATCTTCCCCTATCTTTATAAAATATACGGAGCTAACTGTCTCGTCCTAGACACTCAAGACTCGCAGATCAACGTATGACTTTTCAAAATATCTCCCACTTTTCTGAAATCTAGCTAAACTAAAGAATGTAAAACGTCTGTAACATTCCTCCAGCATAAGACATAACAGCCCATTTTCTCACATATCATAATTGGTTTTAACGCAGGAACAAGGATGACTTCCCCTTGCCCTGCTTTAGCTTATGCTTATATACACATAATAGAAAATTTATCTTGTAACATTCACTGTGCTGCAGTGTACACCTGAGTCTCTCATGACTTTGTGGTTCTTTTTTAGCTGCTTTTGTTTGTGAAGTGGACTGTGATCAATGACACGACAGCACTAAAAGGCAACAGTCTGTCAAGTTACCGCTCATAACAATATACACTTTGATCCTTCTATTTTATGAAAAAGGAAAAAGTAAAGTTCTTTTTGTTACTGGTTAACGTTTGTGTCCTTAGTTTTAACAGTAGCAAATTTATAATGTGACCAGATCATAGAAGTCAAGCAAGTATGTCAAATTAAAAACAAATAAACAAACTAACCAAGATTGTATTACTTTTGAAAGGCACAAAGGTTTAAGCGAACTAAAGAACTCAGTCAGAAAGTAACTGGTGGCAGAGTAAGAACAGAAAGCACAGGCGATCCAACCACTAACTTTCAAAGTGATAGTAACAGAAGATGTAAGTTATTTACATAGAAATGCACTCATTAAATAACAGCATTACAGTGACAAGTGTCTCCTCCTTAAGAAAACAGCACTAGAGAAAAAAAAAAAAAAAGAAAAAGAGAGATAAGAGAGATCCAAGCTGATAAGTACCTTGAGGTTATATAAGAGCACACTTTAGCTAAAAAGAAAAGAGGAAAATCCACCCCACTGCTGTCAGAAGCTCCACAGAGGATCCCAACATACAAACAGCATGCTGTGAGAAACAACTATAAACCTGTACGAGGGCCAGACTTCGCTTACAAACTCCTACCGCAACCTCTTCAGCTTCTGCCATCCCCTACAGTTTCCACACTCTCCTCACCGACAATATCAAGCTGCTCTGCCGCATCCTCTTCCCTCTTCCTTTTCTTCTCCTTGTGTTTTTTCTTGCTGCGAAGGGAGACGCAAAGCAATAAGGACGTACCTCAGGCCCGGCCCCTCCACAGCGAGCCCCCCCCACACCGCCACGGCCTCACGCCTCACGCCTCACCCCTCAGCCCCGAGGCCGCTGGAGCCCGCCCCGGTGGCCTCGGGCTGGGCACCCCGCTCCTCACCTTTTTTCTTTGGCCCCTTTGAGGACGAGCTTGGTGGATTTCACACAGGAGTACTCCGCCATGTCGGGCCGCGGGGAGGGCGGAAGGACGGCGGCCGCGGAGGGACAGCCTTCTCCCGCTCCCCGCCCTTCGCCGGGCGCGCGCGCGGCACCCGCCCCGCCTCTCCTCATCGCACCTCGCGCGGGGGCCGCGCGCCGAATTTGAGGCGGGGGGGGGGGAACGTAAGAAACGTAACAATGCCAGTTTAAAATAACGGTTAAGAGCGTAATTCCCCGCTTTTAAGCCCCCCCCCTGCTCCTTTCCATTCTAGAGCTGGCTTGGCTCAGCCGGGGGCTCGAGCGCTTTGCAAACCTCCAGCCCCAAGGAACGCAGAGCTCCCTCTTCAGCGTGTGGTGGTAATTTGTTCACGTGTGTTAATTACAAGTATATCTAATGGACACAGCGCAGGGCTGTGCCTTCCCCTACGGGCAGAGGCAGGAACAGCGGCTTCGAGGGGGGCCCGTGAAGGTAAGTTGGGGAAACGAAGCTGGTTAAGTCAATCCAGTGCACCAAACTAGGGGTGAAAGGAGGTTTTTCACAGTTTTTTTTCCATCCTGACTGGCACTCGGTGTTCCACAGAGTAAAGTCTACCTCAGGTATAACCACCTTTCTCTCACACAGTTAACATACCACCTTCTCAGCAGCTACTGCATCTCTGGGAATGGTCTTATTAGCACATTAGGCTCCCAGTTAGAGCAGTAATTTGTAATTGGTGTTTAGTCTTTGAATCACAGAATAGTCTAGGTTGGAAAGGACCTTTAGGATTAATCAGGTCCAACCATAACCTAACACTGCCAAAACCACTGCTAAACTGTGTCCCTCAGCACTGTGTCTACCCACACTTTAAATACCTCCGGGGGTGGTGATTCCACCGCTTCCCTGGGCAGCCTGTTCAGTGGTTGGTAACCGTTTCTGTGAAGACATTTTTCCCAATATCCAATTTAAACCTCCCCTGGCACAACTTGAGGCCATTTCCTCTTGTCCTATTGCCTGTTACTTGGGAGAAGAGACTCACCCCCACCTGACTACACCTTCCTTCCAGGTAGTTATAGAGAGCGAGAAGGTCTCCCCTCAGCCTCCTTTTCTCCAGGCTGAACAACCCCAGCTCCTTCAGCCTCTCCTCATAAGACTTGTGCTCTAGACCCATCCACTCATCTTTTTTTTTTTTCTACTTCACAGTAATGGAAGGGGTTGTGTGCTTAAAAGGTTGTCTGCTGATTATATTAGCTGTTCATATGAAAGATGCCATCCCTATCAAATCTTGTCTTACGTGTACACACGCAGCCATTGGATTTTTTCTGATTTCATTGTCTATGCTTGCCAGCTCTCAGCATCTCAAAAGTATCTTCTACAAGTAAGAAAGGCAAGTCTTAGACGTGGTTACGTCAAGGACTTTAAAACCACTGAAATCATGACTGGGTGATAAAACTCTGCATGTGTAATGTCTCAGTGAATGACCCTGGAATTTGTGGATGACTGCAGGTGTTTTCCACAGGTAACATGATTGGATCCCAGACCCTGCTACTTCTCAGCAAAAAGCTTTCAGTGTCCATTTATGTGCCTAGCATGACTAACACAGTATTTTTATCTGTGAAGCTGGAGTGGTTACACCTGCCATGTAAAATGAAAGCAACAGTAATCGACTTTCAGGAGGTTTTGGCAAGTCCCTCATTTTGGAGTTTTGGGGAGAAGGTGGCTGGGAGGAGGCATGGGCTTGTCAGCAAAAGTAATACTTGAATCAAGCTGCTGATGTGTGGGAATTCAGAATACGTCTCTGGCATGTTACTCCTGCCAGTGTCTTCGTATGTTTCATTTTGTCAGTCGCAGACAGTCATCTCCTTCATTAGTGTAAGGGAAGTGGGTAACTGTAAGCAGCATGTTAGTAAGCAGCTGTAGTACACAGTATGTGACTTTATTGATTAATTGACCTACCAGTCCCAAGAACTTGCATCTTGCAATTAGTTCTTCCAGTAAAAGCTGAAAAAAATAGGCAGTACAGAAACCTGCTGACCTCTCTTGATCTCTGCATGGAGCTGCAATTGGGGAAGTATTGCGTTAGCAAATTCTTGTATCCAGTCAGATTGTGAAGGTCCCGAATATCTTGCTGTATGTGAAGGACCAGAGAAGATCCAGGTTTCCAAATAGAAGATTGAGATACCTAGCCAGGCTACTAGCAATCCATCCATTGATTTCAACCTCACCCTCAAGTAAATCCTGTTTTCACATTTCCAGAGATTAATGCCAGGCTTCTTTTGATACTGTCTTAGAATTTTACAGGCAATAATAGAACGGTTGTTCCCTAGTTTGCTTCCTTGTTTGTGGTGGTAGATACAATAGTTTGTTCCCTGTTAAAACATTTTAGTCAACATATTCATATTTTGTTCTGCAGTTTCATGTCTCCAGCCCTTTGGAAATTAATTCAGGCTAACCTCAGCATCAAGTAATTTTAGCATATATACTTATAGTTGTGTTTATTTTATTGGTAAATTTTTTGCTGGTTCTAAACAGGTATGCTTATAAGGGAGAAATTTTAGTAAAGGGTATATGAAAAGGGGGTGAGCAATTACGTAGGAATTAGAAGAAAGCACAGAGTCAATGAGTGAAGCAAAAAGAATGTCTGTCAGTGTGCTGATCACTCAGCTTCACCCTTGCATCCTAAATTGCCCTCCAGTGGGGTTTTTTGGTTATTCTTGGGTTTTATTTTGGTTTCTTTCTAGGCTTTGATTCTATGGAGGGAAAACCTACAGGGCTTATTTGTTGTTTTCTTAGCTCTAACTTCAGTAATTTGTGTGATCAATTTCATTTTTTGTCTGCTTAACTGTGCAACCTTAACATTTGTGGGGTATTTGTATACTCTTGGCAAAGTGGGCCACAGTACACTGACAAACCATTGCCAGCACTCCAAAGTATACAAGCACTTGTCTGAGAGGAAGGATGGGAGAGAAAAAGGTAGTATTTTAGTATGTTATGAAATGAAGATGCCTTGACCACTTTTGGTTAAGAATATAGAGACGTAATCGCTTTAAAGTTATTAAGAAATATCCAAGTTAAATTGTTGTTTTTTTCTTCTTAACTTTAAATAAACAAACATTAAAACAGTTTGTATTTTAATACATATATCTATATCATACAGTGGAAGTGTCTTTATATTTTACTCTTTGTCCACCAGGTGTTGCTATAGCCACAAAAATAAATGCAGATTAAGAAATTTGGAAAAAAAAAAGACTAGTTTTATTTTCATTACAGATCACCCTTACACATCGTGATCCTGAAAAGAATTACACACATGCTTACATTTTTGTATTGGGAATAGTCCCAGTGAGTTCAATTAAGGAACTCATTCTGTGTAATGTTAAGCATATTTATAAGCTTTATTAGGATGAGGCTATATCAATTCTGTTTGCTATTTTCTTTATTTGCTATTCTGTTTTCCCCATTATGAAGAGAAAGATGGAAAGATGGAAGGCAGAGACCATAAATTTCTAATTTTGAAAGAAATGTAGCCTTTTTTCAGGATCCCATAATGTAAAATGTATCTTCTTGTTAATGAATATGATTTTATCTAAAATTCACATCTTTTAGGTTTCTTCTTTAATTTAGTGACTCCAGCAACAAACAGGCATCCCTACAGTGTATACAAAGGACAGTAAAACCTTTTGCCGCAGGGCAAAGCGATGCCATCAATCAGAAAACTGTATCTAAAATGGTACCTCTTTAGAAAAGCTATTTAAACTCTAATTTGCTAGTTAGTATTTTTGAAATTAAAACGTTTCCAAAATGTGCTGGCTATGATTGTTTAAAAAAAATATAACAGTTCATTCTCTTTATGGCAATGGAAATAAATGGAGCCTTTGTGTTTGCAAATATAGAAAACAAATCACTTTTTTAATGACTGGATTTTCCTGCCAGCTTGGAAGTTGCCGCATGTGCATTTTATTTTGAATGCCTAAAGAGTGAAATCATTTGCCGTCTCTCATGCAGATGGGGCAGATTGGCTGAGGTATCATTTGCAAAATGTGCATTTTCATCATTCAAGTTTGAAGGGCATCATTGCAAACAACGTTTCCTATAGATGCTCAGGATTGATGGAAGTGAAGAGCTGAGACTGAGTGTCCGTGATTCCAGCCGGGTGTCATAGGAGCCTGGACCAAAACTTGGGCACTGGAGTTTTCTTCTGTCTTGTTTATTTATGTTAGGAAATATAAAAATACCTCCCCAAACCAGAGAAACTTGAATTAGCTCTCTGGATAGCAGAGTTGACAGATAGTTTATATGCTTTTTTTTTTTTGGCTTTCATTTATAAGTATGGGGCCCTAGTGAAATATCTAAGCTGCTGACTGGTGTAACAGCCAAGATTGATATAGTTTTGTTTACTCATTTACAGAAGGAGTGAAATCTGATGTGAGTTAGAACCAGGACAACTATATTTTGATTTTTCCCCAGTGGAACAAAGTACATAGACTGGATTGTTGCGGTGGTTTCTCATAATGTTCAGCAGCAGTTGTGTTGATGTGGAAACATCCCCAGGACATGATGGTGCATACTGCAGTGACATGACAGATGTAAATAAATAGCTAGTTTGATTCCTGGCATTTTTAATACTGCATGCTGAAAATGCTTCTATTATGAATTCTAGATTTTAAATGTGACCTGAAATTACCTTTTTTTATAACCAAAAATGTTACTGCTGGATTTTTAGCACAGGTAAGTGAATATTCTCAAAATGGCATTTCTACTGCTCAGCTTATGGTACAGAGTATTTGGAAAATAGGAAGGGTTTCTCAGCCTGTTGAGGGTAGGATGGAGACCCAGCTCGGACCCCCAGTCCTCAGCATCCTATGTTGGTTGTGGCTTCTCAGCTTCTTCTGCCCCGCCTGATCACTCCCTCACTTTCCTTTGCTGTCGCTCTGTAAAGTCACTGTGGTTAGGTTTTTGCAGCTGGCCAGCCCTTCTCAGTTTCTGCTGCTCCAGATACTGAGACCTACTGCTCTACACTTTGCCAACAGGGGCCTTAGCACTCACTAAAATCCCTCCTTTCTGTTGGACACTGAGGGAATGCAAGAGAAATGAAAAGGCAATGTAAGGCAAAA